AAAAAAACAATGTAATCATCTTTTGCAGGTGCCTCTCTCCCTCTATTTACTGCAGAGGAAGTTTAGTGAGCTAGTTTGGCCCGTGTGCTGAAGTTTAACTGCATAAACAGTTAGTGAAATGAACCCCTCCCTACCTCATCCATTTTTACGACCTTCAAAAACTAGGATACACCAATTATTGAACAAGCAAGACAAGGACAAGCAATAAGAGCGCATCTAAAAACAGTTGAAAGAGCATTTGCAGTGACAGTATCTTTTGTTAAATCAGCAGATACATAGATGTTGAAGGAAACACAAGCTTTTTGACACTCAAACCCTTTATTAGACTTGAAAAATTACAGCAAACATCAAGCTAAGTAAAAATGTGAAAACATTGGTTAATGTAATTAGGTTGTTTCCAGAATAATTAGATAAGCTTAAGAAAAGGGTAGTTAACATCTGTAGAGCAGAAGATGGTTTTGGCTGGGCGTGAAGCAGTAACTCATTATTTATTTCCCAAGCAGGAAGAATAAAGAGTTAGCACCCAAAGACTAGCTGAGAGTTAGCAAGAGATGTTATTCAGAAAAAGGCTAACCTGCTGTAACGCCAATATCTCTACTGCACAAAGTACCTAACAAGATTTTACCATTAGCTCTCATGTTAATTTTCATGGTTTTTTACTGCCTCTCTTGAAGATCAAGAGTAAGAAATCAAAGATTTACTTATATAAATATACACACACACACATATATACCCACGCAGTATTCTCTTTCTTAGTTATTTAGTCCATTACTGATTGCCTGTGCAAGTTCATTCTAGTATATAGCACGAACAATATTTGATTTCTCCCACAATAACAGCACTCGATGCACTGGATAAAGCATACCATATGCTGAAATTTGCATTTGTAGACTCTTTGGTTTTTGATAGTTCTATTGCAAGAGCGTGTACCTGGCTGCAGCTGCAGAGTGGTCATATGGCTGTTAGTCCAAAGAAGGTCTGCTTCTCTAGGATGACTTTGAAGAAGGTAGGGAAGAGGAAGCTAACTGAAGACTAATGGAAATAAAGTGAGGAAAAAAAGGAACCTGGGAAACTTCTTTCACAGTACAACCCGCCCTAGTAAAAGACTACGTAGTCTATTATATAATTTGTGTATGATATAGCACATAATATCTTTAAAAAAATAAACAAAACACGTCTGGCTTCTTTCTTGTAACCAGAGTTACCAGGTTACTCTTTCAAAGAAACGTCCTTTCTTTGCTGAGGGTCATTTTTATACCAGTGAGGTAAGTGTTATGGCTCCTCAGATGACATATAGATAAATTTGAGAGCCTTAGCTTTTTAATAGCCTGTATATATGTAATTAAATAATAAAATGCAATGGCTACAGGAGGTCTTAAAACTAAACCCAAAAGGTGTCATCACACTGTGTGGAAATTATGCTATGTACATGGCAGAACAAGTTTGGTAGCAAGCGTCATGTAAAATGCCATTGCAGAGTGTCAGTGCCCATCTATTCACATATACCAAAAATGTTGGATGTCAAGTATGCAGTTCAGACAACAAAACATATATACTGAGATTGTATTTTTTCCCCTCTATATAGAGATCAGAATTTCAACAACACCATATACAGAGATATATGATTATCTCCAGCAATCAAAAAAAATCAGCAAAAGAAATTGTCTTACATTACTTTAATCCTATCATTTAGATTTCTGACACCCTCCATTAATGCTACAAAATCCTTCTATTCAAATGCTGTAGAAAATATCACAAATATGGAAGGTACTTCTCTTTATAAAATATCATCCTGGTGATGTTACTTTTCTTTAATAATAAGATACGAGTGTTTTGGTACTTATTTGTTATTTTCATGAGAATGACTGTACTGCTTCATTGCTGAGAAACTCTTTGGGTAAAACACACAGCTAACCTGCTAATGACATGAAAACAAAAATCTTGTCAAATCATGACTTCTCCAAAATACCTAAGTAATTTGTGATGTCCAGCATCACACGCATACATCACATCCAACACCAAATTAAATGTCACTACAGAGGAGGTACAAGGCAGAAAAATTAGAATACCTAAGCTCTTCACAGAATGCAAAATAAAAAAACTCCATTCCCACATAATCTTAACTCAGAAATTCTTTGCTTCAGCATTTCCAGTGAAATGAAATAAGTTGATATTTCTCAAACAAATGTGTGCTGTTTACTGCTTAGAATATATAAATGTAAAGGCTGTGCACCTATAATCTTTCCTTAGAGTTTCATGCTTAATGGCCTCTTCTTGTGACTGACAGCTCTGATGGACTCTGCTGAAGACTCCAATTTTAATGCAACCTCATTTTCCAAAGAGAAATCATTGTGTGAGGATTTTTTTGTCATAATCATAACTTTCAGCATGAAAGGGTCCCTTCCCTTCCTTTCTCCTCTATCCTCCACAATTAAATTTTAAATTGAAATACCAAGTTCTTTTTACACAATTTGGACTGCTGATTTTCAGTAAGCTTTGCAAAAAGATATTTTATTCAGCTTATGTAAAGACAGTATGATAGCTCATTTTGAATAAAATAGCCTTTGGACAATTCAGATAATAGAATCCTCTGTTCAGAGGAACAGGATATGTCAGTCACAAGACCTGTACTCTACTCAGTACACGGCATCCCAAGAACACATTGAAATCCCAGCAGGTTTGGGTTTTCATCCTTAAAGTTTTAGAATATTACTGTTTACAAAAATAAATAAATAAATAAATAAACAAATAAAAATCTTTTAAAGTCTGTTCTAACTGTTAACCAATACAGCATCCCATTTCTGAATTTACAGAGAGCAAACTGAATCAATGCTACTGAGCTCATGCAGAAATATTAAAAATATCAGCATCAGCTAGTTCAGCCTTGAGCTGCTTAGCAGGTGACATGGCTGTGCTAGAATATTTATCAAGATTTACATGAAAAACAAACGAAGAGCTGTGTATCTGGAGTCAGCAAACTGGATATGTAACCTTGCTGAAATCCCAGATCAAAAAGACTGTGCGATTAGTGTCAACTGCCAGAAATTTAAATACATATGCAACCTAGACAGCGGTTCCAGTTGCTTAGGCTTTATGCTGCCTTTGCTCATTGAGAAATGATGTCAGTCCCAGTCCTGAAATGACTATTTCAGCAATATGGCAAATAACATATTAAAATGCAACAAAGAAATAATAAGGGCATTAAGTGTGCTCCAGTTTCAGGTAAATGAGTATCAAAAGGAATCTTGAAGAAGTCCATGAGGAAATGCACCTATCTTATTTAAGATGAAAGATATTTCTGATGTCAGTGAAACACCACGATTAAGATTTACGAACCAATTCTTTACCAAGTCTTGCTTCTTTATCTGCTGTTCATCAAACACCCATTCTTTGAAGTTAACCATTTCCTCCAAAACCTTTTAAAATTCAATAGCGTAGATTCACATCTGTCTCTGCACTATTCCGACAGAATGAAATTTTGCAGCAGAGACTGCAAAACTCTGAACTGCAGCCGCACGTTGGGCAGAAACCACGGGGTTTCGGCAGTGGGGGCTGCAGCATGCCCTGCACGGCAGCCACCGGTGACCCGCGCCAAGGCCAAGACGTTAAGAAACAGCGCAGCAAGAAAACCAGTAAGAAACAGTAAAGATACCACTGCACACATGAACCCAACCTCCCGTGTCATTCCTTCCCGTGGGAAGCTGAGACTAGAAAGGGGCAGGAGAGGAGTTTGGCTTGAGTTTAGCCTCAGAAAGAAGGAAAAAAGGTGTTTACCTGTTTAGTTGTTTATGGGGGGGAGGGGGTTCCCCCATCAATACCAAATCAGTGATCAGAAGTACTGGCAATGAATTAGCTAAAACATTCTCTGCGTCAAGTCTGCTTTGCCCACAAGCTGCAGCACCAAGGTGCCTAAGAGATTACTTCTTTAGGCTTCAGCAGCAATTAATGCTAAGTAGAAAAATGACAGGCTTTAGCATTTTTGTCTCTACTTATAAGAAACATCATTGGTATAATTATGACAGTAGTGTATTCAATAGCTTGGGGAAATACAAACAGATTGCAGTAGCATCCAGTTAGGTTATCCTTTAACATATGTCTGAGCTAAACAGAGTTGAAAGAAAGTTCATCGAAATGCATTTCTGCAGACTGACCAGAATTAGGTCCGTATTGTTACAGTACTTAGGAAACATTGACATTGTAATTACTTCAGGCACCCATCTGGCACAAATCACAGCACCATGATTTCATTTCATTTCAGATGGTCTCAGATATTAACTTTGTTTCTCCTCTCAGCTAGACGGTGCCATGAACATGTGAATCACATCATTTGCAATAGGAAAGTCAACAGCAATGATTCCTGCCTCATGATCCTGAAAAGCCCTGGTAATTGCTAATGATGGGAGATTTACTTTAAGGTTCAAATCAGGTTTCAGCTGATGGTGAAATGAACCTCTTATTCCGTGTTTTCTGTTCAGTGACCTAATTCTAGCTCATAGACGTTTCATATTAATTGGTAACAACTGACAGACTCCTTGCTAGCTTCCAAATACTGACAGAATTAAGTTCAAAGGATTTTTAGTTCTTAGTTTCCTAAATAGAACAAAAAATCTGAACTAGTTTAATGTATTTTGCTTTTTTATATTTTCAGGTTTTCCACAAGGTGATTATATGACTATAATCCTTCAATTTATTATTTTGAGGGATTGGAAAAAAAAAAAAGACAAATTCTTGCATTAAAGGAAAGACAAGAGGAAAATATTTCTTTCTGAGTTCAAAATTCAACCCACGTTGGTCTTAATCAGAAACATAGATCACATCTGTTCATTAAGTGAAGGATTATAACTAGCAAAGTCAGCTGTAATGCACAAATATGCAAGGTTACCATTAAAATTCAGAGAAAAATAATTTTAATCTAATTTTTACTCAAAGGTGCTAATTTTATGACAATTCATGACTGTAAACTTACACACCAGTTTTTCCAAAAAGCAAGCAGACAATTACCACATGTTCATTTAAAATTTAAAACTGTAATTCTACTTTTAATTTTACACCTTAATCACACACATATATATTCATAGCAGCTGCATGGCCAAAAATGGAGTATAAACAGTAATTTTTGTTGGACATAAACTGTCACAGTTTATATGTCAGGTATAAGAGATTTTGCACCATCATTCAAAAGACTTTATGTAACCACATAAAGTCTTTTTGGGACAGGACAGCATAGTGCCCAAATAAAATTCTGAGACCTAGGACAGAACTGAAGTCTTTATCATGGCACTCAACTAGTAATCTCAATTTCCTGCAACCCAATATCATCTTAAATAATCAGCATCACAATCTTGATCATCATTCATGCAGTCAGGTGGTTTGTTTTTTGCTATCATGCAACTGGACTGTTTTTTTATGATCTAGGAAACAGCTATGGGAACAACAGGGAAACACATGAGAGGTAAGAATAAGAGTTTATTCTCCTAATTGTTTTCCCTAAAACAATACCATCAGTCATTAATATGACTGCTTGATCAGCTAAAAGGCTTGATCAGCTAAAAAGGATTACTTGATAAAACTAACAATGTAAATCTGTGACCATCCGTGGTAGAATATCTCATGACTAAATCTTTTTTGGGAAAAAGCCCCCATTCGAAATGAGTTTCAGTGCTATCCCATCAACATGAGAACTGGTTTTTAACTTTGTGCTAGGTGTGGTCACTGTCATCTGGAAACTCCCTACTTAAAATGCTGTTGATATGCAGCTAAACGAGTTTTGTGCTGATACATCAATTCCCTTAGCTGATCTCACAAAGGCAAGAGCCACCTCCTTGAGATTTCCCGTTTTGCTGGAACACTACCAGGACTCATTAGCCTGCTCCATGAACTTCTGATGCCACAAACAGAAAGGTCTTCCCCAGGGCACTTCACAGCCTAGATGAATACCGTGCATCAGTATTAACACGAAGAAAGAGATCAATGTGGACATTTAGGCCAGATTCTTCAGAAAGTGGCTCTGTTTATTCCCATGAAAGAGAATTAGTTACTCCTATAACTGAAGTAGCTAGTAACACGCAAGACTGAAAGCAAAGTGGAGGTGATAGGGCTGGATACTTGTGAGCCATATCTGCTTCTGTCATACATGCCCGCTGTGTTTTGCTCATCATCTGTGCAGTTACATTCTAGATCCCCTTTCATGGCCTGGAAGAAAAGTTAAGGAGCTTTTACAGACACTACAAACAATCAGAAAGTGTGTTTATAGAAGGCGGTCCAGATGGCAGGTAAAACTGGGTCAGAGCTGCATCATATGTTCCCAGTCGGAAGCCAGAGTGTAGAAGAGGTGAAAATAATCTACTGTAAGTAATCAACTGAATACACTGTCTTTGCATAAATAAGTTCTTAGGAACTTGTTATTAGGAGGAAGCCTCATTGCAATGAGAATGTTTTGCCATGTATTTAATCAATAAACATTTTTATTGTGAAATATAAACAACAAAACTTAAAATTCCAATAGAAATGTGACGGAATATATGACTGAAGTGCTGAGTGCTCATATGTGTCAATAGATTACAAATCCTGAAAGTAAAGGACAGAAACCATTCTCCCTTTCACAGGGGGTGAAACGCTGCAGGATGGATGTGATAGTTTAATGGTCTCTAGCTGGCCTCCTGTCCTCAACACAGAGTGCAGTGCTTGGATTTTGTAGGATGTTCATAACGAACAGAAGAGTCTCCAGAAGAGATTTTTAATCCTACTTTTGCCCAGCTGCCCTTCCTGCATGACCTCACTTTTTACAGGTATTTCCTTGTGGTACTCTGCTTTCTTGGCCTTCCACTGGCATTTAGCAAGACCAAACAACATATTATCTCTGCCCTCTTTCACTCCTTTTAGGGATATCTCAGATCCTCAGCAGCTATTAAGATTTTTCTCCATAATGCTCATGCTATCTTGAACTCCTTACAGATAAGGAAACTCTACCCAAAGCTATTGTCCCAACACGAGTCTCCATACCAATATCAATAAATTGCGTGCAGGCATGCGTGCATCTGTTTTCTTCCTCCCTTTGGGTACTGGAATGACATTCCTATCTGATCTGTCTAGCATTTGAATGATCGCCAAGTCTTTTCTTACAGTCTCTGCATTGAAAGAGTAGGTAATAAAGAGTTAGAAATACAATGTACAGCTCCACAGACTGTCAGCGTGTTACCCTGATGCAGGCCTTCCAGGGACTTAAAGCACAAGTAAAAAAAGGCAATATAAGAAGAAAAAAAAAAAAAAAACAAAACACACACACGAAAATGTGGCATAAATATTGCCTAGTCTGGCTGTTCCATTTCCAACTACAGGAGAGAAAGTGATTTCTAATTGCTGGCTGCCAGTCCTGCATTTTCTTCCCAATCATGCATTCCCAGTCCCTCCCTGACATGCATCTGACCTTGGGCTGAACCATTTCAGCCTAGAAAGAGAAAGCTTTACTTCCTAAAATAGCTTCTTCATCTGTAATTCTAGCTATTCTCCACTCAGCTTTCCTAAGAAATCTCTAACACTAGGGTGGTCACAAGGCTCACCTTGGTGCCTATTTTCAGTTGTCTTTCCACCTGCTCCAAACTTTCTAAATTATCCCAATCTGAGCATAGTCTGAACCTGTCAAAGTCTTGTAGCTTCCAAAATTTTTGGAGGTAAGCCTGTTCTTGAGCCTGGACTTCAGCTGAACTCCAAGATATGGTAGGGAACAAATTCTAAGCTTGCTCTCCTCTGTGTTTGGGGACTAACAATGCCAGCTCACTCCATCATCTTTATGGGAATGCCTTGCAGCAATGTCACAGAGACAACACATAGCTGGCACGCTTGAGCTCCTTCCAGTGGTACATCCAATGACAAGCAATGGAAAGAGACGATGCTTGACCTAAATTTACCTTACGAACAAAACAGACTTGTTGCATCTGAACCACAGATGTTTTAGAGCCACATGGGGGCATCAAGCTTTCATCGCTTCAGTCTGCTTTTAGCCCTGCACTTCATCAAACAGCATAGGCACAGTCCCTGGGGAAGCCGGAGGAAGCACCAGCATAAGTCCCCGCCTTGATTCCTGTATTCCTGTAGTCCTCCTAAGACAGTTTCTTTGCTTGATTACTTCCTTGTTTTGAAGCAGCCCTGGTCCTTGTTCCGTGGTTCTCGTTCTGCCAGATACGCTCAGGCTTTTTCTTTTCAGCGTTCCCATTGCCTGGATACATTTCCCCACTCAGAAGGGAATCCAGGACCCTGGATTAATGTTGAAGCAAACCTGGTTAATGTAGAAGTAATAGAGCATGGCAATTTAATAATTGTGTAGATCCAGTTGCATTAATTTCACATGAACTATAATAGCATGGGGGCAAACCTGGTCACATGCCAACATTTAAACGCTGAAATGACACCAGCAGAAATAAAGGACATGCAGACAGACAGACTAATTCAGATGTAAAGCTATCTTAGTATGGTAGACAGAAAGACTGCCTGAAGTGGGAGAGCTGTTCTGGCATACAAACATTTGTCTGAAAAAAAGAACTATTTCCAGAACAGTTATTTCACTGCCAGTGAGGATTATTTTGAAACATAAAGACAAATGTGACAAACAGACAAACATTGAACTTTGTGTATGGGCTTGAAATAGTTTATCCACTAAAACAAAAGTTACTCAGAGAAAGCCTTTTTGTTTAAAGAAGGTCTTAAGAAAATTGAGTTCATTCAATTCAAGACAGAGGTCCAACTAAGACCATAAAATATGCCCTCTTCAAGTCACTGCTGAATTTCCCTGGAGATCTTTCTTCTTACTCAAACACAATAAAAACTATAATTTACTCAGTGTCAACACGTTCATGTGTTGCATCTGCATTCTTTGTTCAAATTACACAAGGGGGCAATTGAATTTTTTAAAAGTAGTACTATATAAGATCTATACAAATATAAGGAAAAGCCCACAAAGCACTATCAAATACACAATTCAGACTACATTAAAAACAAAAATAATGCATTTGTTCTTTTAGTCATAGTATCTTTGACTGCTATATCTAAGAATATTAGGTAACAGTGTCAGACAGAAGTGGTTTTTTAATTTCCTTCTACCTTTTTAAGTCCCCTTCTTCCTAATGCCTATTACTCTTTCTGAGATGCAAGTGCTACATGCAATTTGTTCTTTCAATTTTTTGACTTTTTTGCAGTCAATATGTGTGAAAAATTGTAATTATAGGGAAAGCTGATAGCACTGCATACTAACACTGCTGTCATTTGCTATCATGAAGACCCTGTTTCCAGTTGCTTAGAACTTTGCCAAACTTTATGATGAAAATTTTCATTGTCTGCTGTCTGCCTTAGATGGATTTTTTTTGGAAAACATGGCTGAAGTAGTACAGCCTTTTCAGAAAACTATGCTAGGGAAACATACTGTTTGCCCATGAATCTGGAAGAAAGGGGAAAGGAAATCACAGAATCACAGAATGGTTGAGGTTCGAAGGGACCTCTGGAGATCATCTAGTCCAACCTCCCTGCTCAAACAGGGACCTCTACAGCATATTGCCCAGGATCACATCCAGACGGGTTTTGAACATCTCCAGGGAAGGAGACTCCACTACCTCTCTGGGCAACCTGTTCCAGTGCTCTGTCACCCTCACAGTCAAGAAGTTTTTCCTCAGGTTCAGATGGAACTTCCTGTGGTTCAGTTTGTGCCCATTGCCTCTTGTCCTGTTGCTGGGCACCACGGAGAAGAG